CTACAGGAAGACCTGAGGAGCCAGGCCCCGAGACGCCAACCCTAGGCCTCTTTTAGCTCCAGGGAGCTCAGCTGGCCCGTGGGGACCTATGGAAAGCTCCCCTGTGGCAGAAGTCACGGCGGCACCTTCGGCAAGCATCCCCGACTCTGCTAGCAGAATCCACACTGGTTCGGATCTGACGCAGAGCCCTGAAGCCCCAGATGATGACCCCTATCTTTTGGCTAGGGTTAGCACAGATCAGCTTTAGCCACTAAAACAGCAAGGAAAATCTGCTAAGAGATCTTGGGAGGGATTGTGCTTTTCAATTAAAACAACTTTAATTCCATGTCTTATTTCCTATCCTCGGATATAGTTGGGATACCTGGTGCAGAGGCAGCCCCACAATGGAATGAGGCCTACCACGGGGATGATGGCAGAGGAGGGGAAACAGCTCCAGATAACTTAGCTCCAGACTCACTGTGATCAGAGAAAAGCAAATCTCTCAGGCTGAAGCCACTCCCAGGCAGATTCTACTTCCAGCCGAAGCCTCCTTTCCCTATTTCCTCCCTCCTCTCACTCCCAACGGTGGGTCAGGCTGAAAGGGGGGATGGTGAGCTACCACCCCTGGCCTGAGGCGGGAGCACCGCCCCTGGGTCACACCTGCCATCGCTGGTACCTAGGCCCCGTGCATGGTGCATGGTCTCCATGGAGACCGCCACCCCCATCCCTTTAAGGTTCTGAGGTCCAGGGAAACTGGACTTGGATTCCCTCTCCAAAAAGGTACTGGCTGTATAAACACGGGCAGGGCCCTTCACATCCCCAAGCACCGATTTCCTAATCAGCAAACAGGGTAAATACTACCCCCGATCTCACAAGAGCGTCCTGACGTTAAAGAGACACAGGGGTGCGGCAAGCAGAAATGTAAGACCGTCTACGATGCCCAGCCCCCGAGAACAGGGGAATAATCCCCTCCCCGGGGGTGGGCAGGCGGGGGACTGCCCCTCGGGGATCTGGGTTAGGAGATGCAGAAGGCGTCACTCCCGTGATGACAGAACTGCTATCACCTGGGACCACCGTGGCACACAGGGATTCATGTCCCCCTGGCTTTGAAGGCCTGTGAAAGTGCCAGTCAGAGGGACCTGAGCGCAGCTCCTCCAGGCCAAGGCACTGTCCACAGCCAGCACGAGCACAGAGCTGTCACCTTGCAGCTGCAAGGAACTGAATTCTGCCAACAACCAGAGATCTGATCTGGCTGAGATCAGAGCCCTGCGGACACCTAGCTGTCGGCTCTGAGTCTCCAAGCTGGGCTAACCCAGACCGGGGATGGATCTGCAGAACCGGGACGCTCGACTTACTGCACGTGGTCCAGCCCAGTCGAGAGGCCGAGCGCCTAGGGAGTAGTAAGCACTCAATAATGTGCCGGGGTCACTGCCCTGGCTCAGCAACACGCAGCGCCTTGGCACGGTCTGTGGGTGAAAGGACCTCTTTTTGTGTCGCTGGCTTTGGCGGCTGTGCAGCCCCTTGATCCCCGTGCCCCCTGCCCCCACCTTTCAGGAGAAAGCGCTCAGAGCAGGGTCACACCCTTCTGAGAGGCCCAGGGCAGCAGATGGATCCCAAGCTGCGTAGATCTCCCGGCGGACATAGCCCAGGCCCTTGGGGGCAGGGGCTGCTTTCTGAGATTCCAGGTGGCCGCTGGCCTCTCCCCTTCCTCCCTTCCGTGGGACAGGGCACCCTGCGCCCCCTCTGGATCTGTGCAAGCCTTCCCAGCAGGACCCCACCCCAGTGCAAAGGTTTCTGTTCCGTGAAACACGCAGATTTTTCTCTCCAGCCAACATGCTGGCCCAGATCCCTGCATCAGACGATGGAGGCACAGAGATCTGACAAAGGGGCCTGGGAATGGACAGCAGACAGGGAAGATTTGACAGGGTCCGCAGGGTGGCAATGAAGCCAGGAAAGGTCTGGGACCAGCCGCCCAAGGATGGACAGCTTTTGCCTCCAAGTAGAAGGGTCTTCAAAGCCATATTTGCTACAATGTCTGCTGACATCTAGTTGCACAAACCATCAACCCGATCCACTCTCAAAACCATCTCTAAGCCAGGTGTGGTGGTGTGTACACTTGTAGAATTCCAGCACTTGGGAGGCTGAAGCAGGAGGATCACCACAAGCTGGAAGCCAGCTTGGGCAACACAGTTAAGTTCAAGACCAACCTGAACTACATAGTGAGACCCTGTCTCAAAATCCAAAAACAAACACAAAAAACTGCCTCTTATGTCCCCAGAACCCACACAAACCTTGGTACCCAGCTGCAGAGATGGATCCTTATTTATACTTCCACATGTCAAGTAGCAGATAACATAAACCACTAACCATGGATTAATCTTCACAACTGATAAGGATTGTTATGCTTCTTTTACAGAGGGGGAAACTGAGGCGTGAAAAGGCTACCTAGCTTTCCCGGCGCTGGTTTGAACACAGTGGACAAAACCCAGGGCCCCTGTCCCTAACCACCATGCCAAACAGCCAAAGCCTTTCTACCCTCTGGCCCTAAGTTCAGTGAAGTCAGGAAAAATAACTGGGTTTGAATTATCAGTCTCAGCCCACGGCATCATCCACCTGCAGCAGCGGCCCGAACGTGTCCACCCGTGGTGTCCTCTGCCTTCTCCAGAGTCGTGGCTGGGTGCCCTGGTGTCCGCACGCCCACAGTGGACAGGAGGCCCAGCGGGTGGCCGGGTCCTCCCCCAGGCAGAGCAGGAAGCTCCTGGGGCTGAAGAAGTGGCAGGAACCTTCATGGGGAGCAGGGAGGGCAGGCAGTGGAAGGGGGACCCCTCACGATGCCCTGCAGCCCCGGGCCCTGCCCACAGCTGCCCATCCCGAGCCCACCAGCCCCTCTGCCCACCAGCAGGGGTCTCCAAGACGCTCAGGGCTGCTTTGCCTGTCCCCCAGGATGCCGCGGAGGGAGACTTGACTCTAACGGGTGTCCACAGCAAAGGAAGTGCTAGAGAAAACCTCTCTCTCCCCCCGCACCCCCTGTGACCCGGAGAGCAAGCAAATGAGCAGGCCGGCTTCCGTTGAAGGTGAGATGGAGCCATAATTTCAAGACCACCAGACTGTCCCTTTCACTTCCCACCTGTTCCAGCGACTCCTCCCTCCCGATGGCTCCTCACCAAAACCCACTCCCATCCGCTCACTTCCTGGAGAGCAGGAGTCGGGCAGGTGCTCCTCGGGCTGACGGACATCGTCCCCCAAGACGGCATGGACACCCAGGTCGACCCCAGCACCACGTCCTCCAGGGACAGACGCGTCCCCAGGCATCCCTCTGTCTCAGGCAGGTAACCCTCTTTAGACACCTCCACCTCTAGGGGGCCAAAAGGCCGGGCCAAGCGTAGCTACTTATTGAGCACCCACTGTGCGCCAAACAAGTGGAAAGCTTCATGCCAAGTGCTTTGTGCCCCTCTGCTCCTGCCCGCGGCACGTGCCCCTGTGTGCCAGGCGCGGTTCCAAGTCTCAGCAAATAAGACTCCTGACAAGTGGGGAAACTGAGGCTTCGAGCGTGCCCCAAGAGATGACTCCGAGACTCGGTCACAGGACGTCCACCTCCACACGCCACACTGGCACCTGTGCTGTCGGCTCAGCTCCCTGCCTCAGGGTGTATGTGCCGCCCCGGGGAGCGGGGCTGAGCACGCACCCTGAGATGCCTTCGGAGGGTGGGTCCTCAGCATGCAAGTGACCCTGGGCCCTGGGCTGAGTGATTCACGCTGGCACCTCGGGGTGAGATGACGCCTTCCAGGACGGGGATGCGGAGGGGGAATGGAGCCTGGAAGAAACTGAACGGGCTGCTCAGGCGGGAGCAGGAGGGGTCCGAGTGCAGCACAGCAAGCGACCGAAGGCCCGGAGGGGCTGGGGAGGAAAGGCAGGCCTGGTAGCTGGCTGGGGAGGTGGGAAAGGAGCCCACGGGCCATCAGGCATGCCCAGCACGCTGACAGCAGCCACGCAGCACCATGAGGCTCCGCGGGGGGCACTGCCCAGCCCCGTGTCTCCAGCCCCACCTACAACTGCCCAGTGTCACAACTTCTCATACAGAGCTGGGGGGCCTCGAAGAGTCTGGCCCAAGAGTGACTTGGAAGAACGGGGGCTGGGGGTGGGAACAAGGGCTCAGCCAGGGGAGGTGGCATCTTGGGCATCTCGGGGGGGACCTCAAGGTAGACAATGCCTGGTTGCCAGCGCCCTTCTACATCCAGCAAGGCAGTGCCCCTAGGGCGGCCACGAAGTCGCAGCATCAGGGGACCCTACCCCACCCCTACTCCCTAAATCCAGGGAAACCCAGCCCTTAGAGGGGCATGACTAAGGAGCTGGGGGTGGCAGACCACAGAACACTCCTACTCTTCCTCTGCCAGATTCTGAAATTTCGGCGTCCCATTCCTTTGGTTTAAGATTTCTGACGCGAGTTATTGTGTTTGAAACGGATGCCACTTGAAGTTGTTACGGATTCCCACACTCGGCAGGGATGAGCAAGCCGTTCTGGCCCGGCTGGCTCTGGGGTGAAGGCAGGCTTTGGCATCCCCGGGTCAGGAGCGCAGGGGAGTGGGGAGAGGGCAGGGTGAGGGTGCTGGGGAGAGCAGGCAGGGGGGGGAAAGCAGGGCGCAGGGGGGGGAAAGCAGGGCGCAGAGGGAGAGGCTGGGCCCCTGGCAAAGATGGGGCACATCGCTCACTTCTGGATTTATCGAGGGGGTCACGGGAGGTGGGCGGAGTGGAGGCCCCGGAGAAGCCTCGCACCTTCTCCCCTTCCCCATGGGGCGCCCAGACCCCGGTTCCAGTGTCCCCCGCTGTTCTGAAGCAACAGCCAGGAGTGCAAACTTTCCAGGATGTGACCCCCGCCTGGCTCCCCACCTGCCCTCGCCACCCGCAGCTGGGCAGGGAAGGGAGGGTCCCAAGGCCAGGACACTGGGGAAAGGGCCTCGCGTCGGCGGGCAGCCAGGAGGCAGCCAGGATCTCGGGCCCAGGGGCGGGGCAGAGGGACTCACCTGCAGGACACGGTGATCTCCACCTTGGTGGCCGGGATGCTGCCCGCCAAGGAGTCGAACTCGCTCAGCGACGCCATGTCCTCGGGCTGCTCCATCACCCACCGCACCCCCAGCCCAAATCAGTCAATTCCTGCGCGACGCACGCCTCCTCCCGCGCGCCTGGAGCCCGGGCTCTCCCCCAACTCCGGAGCCCGGGCTGCGCGGCCAGGGAGAGGCGCGAGGGGGCGTGGGAAGGGAGGGAGCGAGGGGCGGGGGCGCGGG